TTGATGCGAAGAGTACAACTTCTCGACTTTTGCTCCCTAAAAAGGAGAAAAAGAAAAGAAGTAAAATTTCAGCGACTCCAAGTTTTGAGATTGCTAGGCTGAAGTTTAGGGAATATAGCATAAAATATCACTCAATTCTGCGCAGAAACCAGAATGGATTCATACCAGGAAGGTCAACAGCCCAGCAGATATTGGTACTGAGGCGTTTAATAGAGGGTGTCAAGAGTCGGAAACTGCCAGCTGTTCTGACATTTATAGACTTTAAGAAGGCTTTCGACAGTGTACATAGTGGGAAAATACTCAACATTCTAGAAGCTTACAGCATTCCAGTCAAAATTGTAGAGCTTATACGGCTCATGTACGAGAAGATAATGGCCAAAGTCCTAACTCCAGACGGAGAAACGGAATTGTTCGAGATACTAGCAGGTGTGTTACAGGATTGAGGATGATACCTTACCACCTTACCTCTTTGCAATAGCCATCGACTACTGTAGGATACAAGGATACAAGGATACAAGGATACAAAAGTGATAATTATTTTATTGAATTCACAATAGTTATAATTCTGAAATAATTTAAGGTTACACAATTCTAGTTATTTACAAATGTGTAGGGATAAAATAGAAATGTTTTATAATACTATTTTTGAGGTCCTATAGCATTATGCATTGGCCAGTATTTGAGTGGAAATCTGGGCTCTTATAGTAGGCTGTAAAATTTTCGTTCACAGAGAGAATTGAATGGATTGCTCTTGCTGTGGCAGTAAATTTTGTAGGGTCTAGTGTTTTATCGGATAGCAAACCGGCTAGGTCAGTAATATTTTTGGGATGGAAGTTAAATTTTTCTCTAACTGAGGAGTAGAGTAAACAGTCAGTTAGAACATGAATTTCGTCCTCAATAGGCTTAAGCCCCTTGCTGAAAAAGCAAAAAGTGCACCATCGATGTTCTCTTGGTACTAGGGGGGTTTCGTAACGGCCCCTCTCAATGTAAAGATTGTGGCAGCTAATACGAAACCTTGTTAAGCTTTTCCGAGCATCAGGGATCTTAACCACTCCTAAGTATGTTTCTGGTTCAAAATCATGTTTAATTTGATTGTAGAATTCTAATTTAGGTGAGGATGCCTTGGCAGATTTCCAGGTATCCACAAATTCTTCCCTCATGTTGTGACTGATTTGGGTAGAGAGCTTGGATTTTGAAGAGGATGAGTGGGGGAAGTTATATTTGGTGAGAAGATTAGAGATGTTGGTGTACCAAGGAAGGCCCAGCATAATCTGCTCGTGAAATGCAGCGGAGAGAAGTTCATTTTCAGTGCTTTCAAGACGACTATAGAAATCTATTGCAAGTTTGCAGGCTTCAAAGAAGAGGGGGTGGCGCCCACTTTCACCCCAGCAGCCTATATTTGATGCTTTTGAATGGACAGACAAGGACCACTTGATAAACTTAAGGTGGAATCTTTCATAGTGGTCTTGTGAGATGTACCTGAGAGTATGCTGGGGGTTGGCTTTGCTATCTGTTTTGGAGAGGTATCTCATGGTTTTTGAGTGAGGACATAAGATTTGGCAGCCATAGAGCAGTATCGGTTTTATTAGAGAGTCAAATAGAATGTTTAGGGAACGGTGAGAGAGGGCATCTTTGACGATATTGCCTTTGAGGCCATAGAGAGCACGGAGAGCCTTGGCCCTCAGTTCAGTATTTGCTGCTGTAAAAGATCCATTTCTGTGGAATATAATGCCAAGATAGCAGTATTTTTCGGTGTGTTGGATGGGCTGGCCTCCCAAAATGAATGTTTCATAGGATTGTATGAGGTAAGCCATAAGTCATAAGTGATGATATGGATCGACTTGGACTCACTCTCGAACGTAGTAAAAGCAGAAGAGTGGGGCCCAAGATCATCACCGATGTGGACTTTGCAGATGATATAGCACTTATATCTGAGGACATGGTACTTATATCTATGGACAAGGTTAACGAGTTCCTGTTCCAAGTAGAATTGGAGGCAGTAAGCGTGGGGCTACAGTCTACACATAAACGAATGCATAATCAAGGTTCATGGAGTTACCTAGCTGGGGACCTCAAGCTATCATGCCGAATAGAGATTCGGCGGAATGACAGGCTGAGCGCGGCCTTACCTGGGGACCTCAGGCTATCATGTTCATAAAATAGAGATTCGGCGGAATGACAGGCTGAGCGCGGCCCAGTAAAGCGCGGCCCAGTAAGGTTGGAGGACTTCGCCGCTTCGACGACGCGCCGCGCAAACTAGCATTCTTGCTTTGCAGAGCAACGATCTCGATGGTTTGACACCGTCAATCAAGTAAACAACCCCTTAACCCTGGCCTTACTTGATCATTAATGCACGTTTGAAGTTGTAACCCCTTTTTTGACGGATGTTACTCCATACTCGTTTAAATTTTTCGAAGTAGCGCGCGCCGCTTTTTTCTCAAAATGTTATGGCCCACGAGGCTTAATATAATATAAGTGCTACAAAGTAGTTGTATCACGTCGTGATCCCCACGGTCGTTTCACTATGGTAGAGTTTCTACGATACAGGGGGAGCCGCTCACTCGTGCGCGGCGGGTCATATTGATTCACGATGTCAATCCTTCGCAGCTCGGTGAGGCACAGTGGTGCATCTCGCCGATCTACCGAAGTGTGGTTGCGAGAAGCATTATTTGATGCGCGCGCGACCCAGTAGTGCATCGCGCTACAACGGGTCATACAACGTATGAAAACGAAGTAGCGCGCGCCGGGCTAGTCCATTAATGTTGTATGTGGCCCCCTGTATCGTAGAAACTTTGCAGTGAAACGACCGTGGGGGTCACGACGTGATGCAAGGATGAAGGAAAGAAGTGACGTATACGCTACAAGACTCTTGTATCAAGAGCCGCGCGCGCCGCTGAGTTAGATTGTGTACCACATATAAAAGGCTAGCTTATATAACATCTGAACCGAAAGTAAGAGTATTTTCTTGAAGAAAGTCAAATACAAGGAAATACTTTCGAGAAAACCATAGTATATAGCTAACTTTAGCAGGGTAGTGTTGGTTATGTGCCTAACCTGGTGAGCACAGTGGATATCCTTGCTGTACGGCTAGTTAAACAAGGAATTGAAACTGTGGGGCTCCGTGGAGACCAACCTACCTGTGGCTAAAGCTCTAATATACAAAAAACAACACACTGTATATGGAACAGATATTTTACGAGTATCACCCGTTAAATATTGTGTATAAGCTATTTTTGTATCACGTGGTGACCCCCACTGTCGCTTCACTATAGTTTGACAACGTATGACGTGGTGACCCCCACTGTCGCTTCACTGTAGAGTTTCTACGATACAGGCGGGTCATACAACGTATGACAAAGCTATTTGCAACACGTTGTGACCCCCATTTTCATTTCACTTAGTGTATCGGGGCGAAAGGGAGGGAGGGAGGGAGGTTAACGGGTGATACTCGTAAAATATCTGTTTCATATATTGGACCGTCGACGAGTCCAACTCGGCGCGCGTCCTGGTAGGTTGTAAACCTACAAGAGGGAGGGAGGGAGGGAGGGAGGGAGGGAGGGAGGGAGGGAGGGAGGGAGGGAGGGAGGGAGGGAGGGAGGGAGGGAGGGAGGGAGGGAGGGAGGGAAGTTGGTTTCAAGTTTCAACTGTCGGGGGCCCTTTTAGAACAATCTCGAAGATCGACTGTAAAGTGATTTAGCACGCTCGTAGGCCTAACACAGTGCCCTGTGGTACCCCACTTAGCACCATTATGACGAGAGATTCAATACCATCTACAACGACATGTTGGGTTCTTCCACTGTGGAAGCTTTCCAGCCAGCGGTGGGCGTTGCCCTGGATACCGTACTTATGGAGCTTCTTCAGAAGTATGGCGTGGTCTACCTTATCGAAGGCTTTGCTGAAATCAAGATACAGAATACCAGCATTTTCGTCACCATCTAAGTCATCCATGATGTCTTGGACGTGGTGAAGAAGTTGAGTAAGACAGCTTCTTCCAGCTTGAAAGCCGTGTTATTCGTGGTTGATGATGTCTTGAGCTACAATGTAGTCAACCAGCTTAGCGCGGACGACCCTCTCGAACATCTTTATGAGGTTGGATGTTAGAGATACCGGTCGATAGTTGGCAGCAATCGACCTTTTCCCCTTTTTAAAAGGGGGATAATACTCTGGTTCTTGAATTTTTTAGCTATTACACCAGAGCTTAGCGAAGCTTTCCAGAGCTTGGTTATCACAGGAGCTAGGACAATTCCACATTCCTTGAGGATTAGGACTGGGAACTTGACAGGTCCGACTGCTGAGAAACGATTCATCGCTTTGATGGCGTCGAGGATATCTTGCTCGTTAAAGTCGATGTCTGTGATAGATTGAGGTTGCTCAATGACCTTGGACGTCCGAACTTCGGCTAGATTTGCCTTTTTGGGGTCACTGAAAGCATTCGCATATTGCTCCTGTAAGATATTACCCATAGTGGCTGGATCAGACTGGAGCTTGTCATCACTATCCAATAGGGGTCCGACAGATGCAGCAGGGGTTTCATTTAACCTCTTTGCGAAGGTATAAAAGGCCTAAGGATTAGTCTTGATCTTACTTAGAGCAACAAGTTCTTCTCTGGCTCGCTGCTGTTTAATGTCCGCTTTAAGGAGCATCTCGACAGCAGCCCTCTTGTCATCCAGCTTGCGAAGCTTGACATTGTTGCGAGGCGGAGAAGGGCCACAAAATCTGTATTTGATACAGTTGATCCTGGCATTTGATACAGTTGATCCTGGCATTAGGGAGGGAGGGAGGGAGGGAGGGAGGGAGGGAGGGAGGGAGGGAGGGAGGGAGGGAGGGAGGGAGGGAGGGAGGGAGGGAGGGAGGTAGGGAGGGAGGGAGGGATGGAGGGAGGGAGGGAGGGAGGGAGGGAGGGAGGGAGGTATATTTATTTAATTTTTTAAAAGCACTTAATTCGAATTGCCAATTATTACTAATTTAATAAAATATAACTGAATTATCATCACATATACATGATTCGTGCCTTAATGTTATTCGCGGGGACAATTGTGGTGAAATCAAAATAATATAACATGAATAGACATAAATTTGAAGATAAGAAAGCTAATTAATTTAAAACTTTAAACATAATTTGCATGAAGTTGAGAAATTAATTATTAACCGAATGATTTATGAAGGAGCAACCAATTAAACTAACCTATAAAAGCGGCATCAATCACCCTTAAAAGTTAGAATCCATGTTTTACCTAATACTTTTGTACTAAAGCTGTTTTAAAGGTCAGGCTAATACTTTACCTAATACTTTACCTAGAACTTTACCTAGTACCTTACCTAGTACTTTACCTAGCACTTTACCTAGTACTTTACCTAGTACTTTACTTAGTACTTTACCTAGTACTTTACCTAGTACTTTACCTAGTACTTTACCTAGTACTTTACCTAGTACTTTACCTAGTACTTTACCTAGTACTTTACCTAGTACGTTACCAAGTACTTTACCTAGTACTTTACCTAGTACTTTACCTAGTACTTTACCTAGTACTTTACCTAGTGCCTAGTACTTTACCTAGTACTTTACCTAATACCTAGTACTTTACCTAGTACGTTACCTAGTACTTTACCTAGTACTTTACCTAGTACTTTACCTAGTACTTTACCTAGTACTTTGTCTAGTACTTTACCTAGCACTTTACCTAGTACTTTACCTAGTACTTTACCTAGTACCTTACCTAGTACTTTACTTAATACTTTACCTAGTACTTTACCTAGTACTTTACCTAGTACTTTACCTAGTACTTTACCTAGTACTTTACCTAGTACTTTTCCTAGTACCTTACCTAGTACTTTACCTAATACTTTACCTAGTACTTTACCTAGTACTTTACCTAGTACCTAGTACTTTACCTAGTACTTTACCTAATACCTAGTACTTTACCTAGTACTTTACCTAGTACTTTACCTAGTACTTTACCTAGTACTTTACCTAGTACTTTACCTAGTACTTTACCTAGTACTTTTCCTAGTACCTTACCTAGTACTTTACCTAATACTTTACCTAGTACTTTACCTAGTACTTTACCTAGTACCTAGTACTTTACCTAGCACTTTACGTAGTACTTTACCTAGTACTTTACCTAGTACTTTACCTAGTACTTTACCTAGTACTTTACCTAGTACCTTACCTAGTACTTTACCTAGTACTTTATCTAGTACTTTACCTAGTACTTTTGTAAAATCCGTAGAACTCTTCTATCAAGTGGCATTCCTTACGATTTATGCATTCAATCAAATCCATAATTATGTATGATTTCAATAGGATTGTTTCTGTCAACTAAGCCAGTGCTTATAATTATAACTGGTGTATAATTGGGGTTACCAATCTGTTCTCCCGGCACATACCACATGGCAGAAGATGGAACAGTAATCTTCTTATAACTCATACCATTCTTTGGCGTGTGGTCGTTCACATATTACGTAATAACTTTGGGGCAATTTTAAAGCCCCTCCGTTATCTGTTTTACGCATAGCTATTGCATTAAAATTACACTAACGTAATCATCCAGAAACCCCCCTCTCAGTGATTATGAAATATTTGAACCTATCCAAAACCAAGCCTGGGTTTGCTTTAAATACAGTTATCCTGGTCCCAATCCTCCTTGCGTCCTAAGATGGCGTTTCTTTTGTCTCATATATGATATTTATCTCGAAATACTGCTTTGTAACCTTTAAAAGTTTGTTATATTAATTATATACATAATTCAGCCAAGGAACGTTATGCCTCTAGACGAGACCAACAACGAGAGCTATAGATGGTTGAGAAGTGTGGGTAACGATTGGCAGTTTCATGTCGAGGATCTACACCCAAAACAGCTCAACCGGCTCTACAAGAGGTTCGACACCTTCGATCTAGACAGTGACGGTCGTATGGACATGGACGAGATCCTGTACTGGCCCGACAGAATGAGGCAGTTGGTGAACGCTACTGACGAACAGGTCGAGAAGATGAGGTCTGCTTGCTACACCTTCTTCCTCAACAAAGGAGTGGATCCAGAAAAGGGACTTCTCAGAGACGACTGGGTTGAAGCTAACAGGGTCTTTGCTGAGGCTGAGAGAGAGAGGGAACGACGTGGCTTGCCCTCCATGATTGCTCTTTTGTCAGACTCTTACTACGATGTCCTGGATGATGACGGTGATGGTACTGTTGATGTCGATGAACTGAAGACCATGATGAAGGCTTTTGATGTGCCTCAGGAGGCTGCTTACACCTTTTTCGAGAAAGCTGACATTGACAAGAGTGGAAAACTGGAGCGAAACGAACTGGTACATCTCTTCAGAAAGTTTTGGATGGAGTCGTACGATCCTCAGTGGGACGGTGTCTACGCTTACAAATACTAAGCTTACTCATGAACTCGGATATCTATTGTTAAATTTTTCATAGTTTTGAATTTTGGAAGTTTATTGAAGCCGTGTATTTTGTTGTTGTTATATTTATGAATTATGGTTGCGCATTGTTATGGTCTTGGTTTTAATTAGTTCAGAAAACTGAATTACTTACTAATTTATCAAAAATGAACATACAAATATAAAATGATTCAAATTACTGACAAATTGTCAGTCAACATCTCTCAACATTTTATAACCTAACTGATCCATATCTAAATTTAGTAAATTAGACCAGCTATTCATCAGACTCAGAGCTCACATCATGGTGGTGAAACTGAATTGAGTATCTACATATCGAGCTGTACGTGCTTATAAATTGTATTATAACGATAAGTATAAACCCTAATGAACCATATCACATATGGAACGCTTAACAAGTTATGTAAGAGGCCCTGCTGACACTGGTCAAAATTTCAGTCAAAACCGCGAAATTTCGGTCAAGGGGACGGCAGAAAAGCTCCTCTTCAAAAGTCTTCCAAAATCTCTTTTCATATTCTGATAATTTTCCGTTTATTAAAGCTTTCTTTGGGAATAGAGCTTTGAGTACCTCAAACGTGTCTTGTGCCATCCGCATTGACAAATACGAAAAAATATGAACATTTTTGATATCGCAGGTTTAGGGTTTCAAACGATATCCGGAAAACCCTACATCAACCCCGCCTGCATTGGAGCTAAAGTATGATTCGTGAACGCTAAATCACTAGGAATTGTTTGACAATGCTACATAACATTGATCAATTATTGTACTGTGTAACACTCATCACTCACGGAGCAAAGCTTCCATCTTCTTGTAAATTTATCCACTCACCTTCTTAGAGACAACAACACCAAAATGAGTCTTTTTATATTGTGTACAAGCTTTGAGTGCTATAAGATTGTAAAAGCACTTCAACTACTCGTCATTCGTTAATCGTCAAGCAAACTAAGCTACATTATAAAACTAGCTTTACCAATCCAACTTATATAAAATGGTTAAGGATGCGACAACTTTAAAAAGTTTCTGCGAAAATACATGGTTATGTAGACTTAGAAGCCAACACATTATCAAACAAGCCAAATTTTTTATTTTGACGGTGAACCAATAGAAGACAGAATTTACCTTCCAAGAAAAAAAGAAAAATACCTTAACAGAAGTTATTTTTACCAGACACTTCGTGAAACTGAACGGACATAATTTTAAACGGACAATATAATGAACGCTCCAGGACATTCAAAACTATTAAAAATCCGAAACTTTTTCATTTTTTGGGCGCTATGTTCCCCAAATTTTAGCACACAATTTAAGGTATAGCCTGAGTAAATATACCGCTATACAGTGTACAGAGAAGAGTTTTGACAAGAACAGGCCCACGATCGCGCGTGCATTATTCCGAATTCTGTTACAGATTTGTATTCTAGATTCTATATAATAGCTTATATATTAATATAGATTCTATATAATAGCTTATATATTAATATAGATTCTATATAATAGCTTATATATTAATATAGATTCTATATAATAGCTATCCTAGAATTGTAGAAACCAATCATTGTACAGTATCAGCATTCAGCAAGCATCTAGACCTAGATTGCCACGTAATAATATCTTGCCGCCGATAATCTCATGAAACTGACAGTGAAAATGACGTACCATCATTTCGGGTAAAAATAGTTGGATTAACAAAGCATCCAGAGAAAAGTATATATTATTGATTTCTAGCAGAGCTCTGAAGCCTTCGCTATCGTACTTTAAATTTCAGTCTTTCTTACAAATTGTGAAGCTGGAAAACTATTTGATGTACAATTCACGCTTGTACAGACATGATGAGAGTGTGAACTGTTATTGTTAATACACAGTGTATCAGCATTGTTTGTTCCGTTTATTGTTCGGGTTGTGAAGCATGGGATTGTTTCCGGACCAACTTGGAAATGGGTCAGTTTAGTTGGAACATCATCGGGGGAGATTTTACAATACAATTAACAGTTCAAGTTAGATCAGGGAGCAACCTTTGTCTTGTGCTCCTTAACGTTTGAGCTCAACTCGAATTCTTACAGCTGTTATATTTTGTTCATATTTCGTTTACAGGTTGTAGAGGACAAATATTGTTCTTAAACGAATTTTATTAATTTAATTTATTTTTAATAAACTTATCCAGTAAAGGAAACGTTACCTGGGGACCTCAGGCTATCATGTTCATATAGAGATTAGGCGGAATGACAGGCTGAGCGCAGCCCAGTAAAGGAAACGTTTTTTATTTTACTAATTTCGTTTATCGTGTTGTTATATAATCGTGGTCCTTTTATATTAGACAATGATACGTAATTTGTTAAACTTAATTTCAAAATACTGTGGATTTCTCCTTGCCGTTTGTCTCAGTGGTCCTCTTTCAAATATGTTAGCGATATTTTACGGTGGTAATATGGTACAGGTACACCCATATAAACTTTGTGTATCAACGTTATAGCTTTTAGCAATAAAAACTAAGAGCCAACATCCCTATTTTGTTTCAGAATCAGTGTAGAATCGCATTTCGACCTTATTCTTGAAACCGAGTTTTGATTTGGGCGTCAAAAATACGTTTTCTTACGTCTGTATTTTAGATATGCTGATTTAAAGAAGGAAAGTTGGAATGTTGTTGGGAATACTGTTTTTGGTGGCAACGGCTGTGGATGTGGTTCAGGCGGTTATACCTGGAATAAGTAAGTTTTTAAACCATACATTTTACTCTCCACAACAGATACCGCCCTATTCGCCCCGGAGAAGGCTATTTTGTGACTTTTCGAGAGAACTTTTCATCCCTTCTATTTGAAGGGTGTTTGGTCAGTAGGAGTGCGGCCCAGCATGAAAACTAACAGCCCCTTTACAGGCGGGGACTCATACTCTTGCTTCACGAACTTCCAGTCTGTCTCGACTGAGGGATGTCTGACTAGAACCGAGGAGGATGATGGGACTATTGTCCAGACTACCCTCCAGGAGGTCGAGAGTATGGATTTCTGTGTCTCTGGGCCTACATATGGCCAGACAAAACAAGGTTAGTTTAGTCGCTTTTTTATGAAAAGGGTTACAGTTGAAGTGACTAATATTTTTGATATCAAGATATGGAGTATGATATGGTCCAAATGTATCTTCTTCAACTAGCAAAATATAATAAAATCTATTACAATTTTCGAAAACATTTGTATATTATTATTCCCACAGGTAGTTTCGGTAAGGCAAAAAACTATGCAGTATCAGCTGACCTAAAAATGACCGATCTCGGAAAATACTCGACCAGCTATGGTTTCTTGGGTATTGCGTTCAACATGATGGACTCCAAAAACTATGACATCGCTTATGTCAGGTATTTTGAAATAAATTGTGGCCTCACAAGTTTAACATTTTGTTCGTTTACAATCTTTATGAGTTTGCTTATTTATTACCAAAGCAACTCATGTGCGACAAATACGAGAGTTATTAATGCGAGTTATTCTAATTGTCACTGCTCAGACCCCATGCAAAGGACCACTGCTGGGAATTGGGATACGTCGAGAATGGACTCCTGTTTGGAAGAGACTTTGGATCATGTACCATGAAAGTTCTGAAAGAATTCAATCTGGCCGTGAAAATCGAAAATGGAGAAGGTTTGTTTTGCCAAAATACAGACAAAATACAGACATTAGAAACCTTTCTGAATTGAATCAACAAATAATTGTCAAACTACGCTCCGCATTTAGCTTGAAAATTGTAAACTTTAAACACATTTCACTACACAAGGTGCGGTATATGTGAATGGAGCAAAAGAGTCAGACTTTACTCCCTTCTTCCCTCCATCAAACAAGGTCGCCACTGCAATGAGGAACAACATGAAAGCTAAAATGGAGACCAAAAACCTTCAAGTCTGCCAAGGTTCGTTAATGTTTTTTTTTGTTGTTGCTTTTTTTGGTTTTTTTTTCGTAACCAATCCTTTTGTTTTTAAAATCCTACATGGTGTGGTTAAAATTAAGTGTATTTATTTCAATGGTTTCTAAATTGAGGTTCGTTAATGTTGTCAATTCTGAGATTGTAACAAAAAACACATATTATATTAGTTTATAAATATTAGTTTCAAAATGTTGGTGTTATTAATACTTCAATAATATCTGAAGTTTGAATAGATGAAATGATATTTGCAGTAAATTGGTGACTAGAAACAATTGACAAATTATTACAGAGATAAAATGTGTATCGAGGTCGGAGTCAGGCAAGACTATGATCACCAAGCCTCTTGAATCGTACAGAGACTTGGGAATGAGTGCATGTGAGGCTTGTACTTGTCAGCTTTTCGGTCAGATAAGGTAAGTTGCTCAAAAATCACCAGAATCTTAAAGTTAACCATAATTTACACACTGCAAATCCGACAGAAAGTGGCGATGAACATTGAATCATTCGAACCTAAGCTGAAGACTTTAATTATATACGATCGAATTCACAACTACGAATTACGAATACAATACCATCTAACACACGTGGTGATATGACACGTACTGTGAACCATCTAACACACGTGATATAACACGTGTCATCCTATAGGTGTGGATGTAGGTCTGCAGATGAACAAGGTGTTTCTTGTTCGAATGGCATGATCCCCGCTGTCGGACATGACTGTTGTGCCAGATGTGTTCCTCGTGAGTCAAAATAACAGCTTTTACTTCTTCCTCGAAAGTGCTATATTTGTAACCTTACAAGGGTTGTGTGTCACGTGATCAGCACAACTGGAATTCCAACGTTTTAATCCCGGTCTATAAGTATAATATCTGACCAATGTACAACTGATTAGAAAGCTAAAACTATCCCTGATCCACGTGGCCCTGACAGTAACCCTCTCTCTCAGCGTCAGGAAAATGCTACGGAGCCGGAGATCCTCATTACAGATCATGGGATGGCAGATCTTTTGATTACCAGGGTAGATGCACATACACTATGCTGAAGACGCTCGACTTCGAGGTCAGGCAAAAGAATGTTGCATACAGTTCAGTCGCCATAACCGAGTAAGTGGTTTCCTTTATATATACTGCCTGCTAAAGCCCATCATGCAGTGCCGGTCGAAGTATCTTTCGTTATTCATATCTCTAAATCAGTTTCTAAGATGCAGGACAAATATATTTGTTCACTATTTCCACCCGTGTCTCCTTTTAAACAGTAGTACGCTGAATAATTGTAATTAGTTTTAAAAACTAATGTTATCGCTACAATACTGATCTTAAAATATAGAAGAACAAAAGTGCATATCTAACTGTGGGAGTCTTACACACTACAGTCTCCAGAAATTAATAATCACATGCTGCAGTAAAAATAATCGCATACTGCAGTAAAAATAATCACATACTCTTCTTTTTCAGATACTGCATCGTCGTGTTCGACGGTGATCAGTTCGAGATGAAAGGTGTAATAAACTACACGCCAGCAGGCGGTGCCAAACAAAACGTCGCAACTCCTTTTAAGAAATATTACAATTCTCAAGATTACGTTGACTGCGTTCACGGCCAGGAGTGTTCTATCTACATTAAAAACCAGAAGATGTTGACTGTTACATGTAAACCTCGTAATGCCATCTATCTATGGGTAATTACTTAATTAATCAAATAATCAAATAATTAAATGATTAAATAATTAAATAATTAAATAATTAAATAATTAAATAATTAAATAATTAAATAATTAAATAATCAAATAATTAAATAATTAAATAATTAAATAATTAAATAATTAAATAATTAAATAATTAAATAATTAAATAATTAAATAATTAAATAATTAAATAATTAAATAATTAAATAATTAAATAATTAAATAATTAAATAATTAAATAATTAAATAATTAAATAATTAAATAATTAAATAATTAAATAATTAAATAATTAAATAATTAAATAATTAAATAATTAAATAATTAAATAATTAAATAATTAAATAATTAAATAATTAAATAATTAAATAATTAAATAATTAAATAATTAAATAATTAAATAATTAAATAATTAAATAATTAAATAATTAAATAATTAAATAATTAAATAATTAAATAATTAAATAATTAAATAATTAAATAATTAAATAATTAAATAATTAAATAATTAAATAATTAAATAATTAAATAATTAAATAATTAAATAATTAAATAATTAAATAATTAAATAATTAAATAATTAAATAATTAATCTATGGTTATGTTGATCTTTTTTTTCTGGTTTATAAAACCCTACATAAAATGAAGAAACAACACTAAGCATTAAACAACTTTTTCCTAGATCCACGGAACGTACTATGAAAGAACTGAAGGCCTGTGCGGAATCTGGGACGGAAACATGTACAATGACAACGGTAATGGGAATTTATACAGAGTCGCCAACAACGATGGTTGTCCAAACCCACCCGAACCAGTGGATCCATGTAATCAGGTATCACGAGCGGAGAGGAACTGGGCTGAACAGTATTGTTCTAGATACAAGCAGGAGCCTTTTAAGAGCTGTCCTGTGGACGTAACTCAGTCGTTTAAGGCAAGTACAAAACATTTCTGTAGGATTTTTAACAAGTTCTGTGTTCATGAATGCACTTTTTGAGGAGGAATTTCATACGCTCGCAATTATTTGTAACATCGCGCTCAAATCGGCGCTTCACAGGTCTCGCGAGTATTCAAAGAGAAGAATAATCCTGAAACGTTTGGTAGCGAATCACAGTGTCCAAATAACATTATATCTTCCCTCAGAACTGTCTGTTTGATGCCTGCATAGACCCTTCCAATGATGATAATGTGTGTGCGAACGCTGCTGTTTATGCTAAGAAATGTTCTGATTCGGGAAACCCTGTAGTAGGTAAGACGGATTACTGAATTTTGATTTTTTACCAGCTAGCTAATAAAGAGGAGCAGTATAAACAAAATTGAAAATTACCAAATTTAAAATAACCCCAGACAAATGTCACGTGATCAGTACAATGGTAGTTGATATCGGCCACATTTTTACTAAAACGTTATAACCCCTCCAGGCTGGAGATCGAGTAGTTTCTGTCCGCTAGAGTGCCCTGATTCTATGGTATATGATAGTTGTGGTAAAGGATGTTTCGCGACCTGTTCCGATCCTTTCCCTGTTGATTGCCAGGATAGCTGCGTTGAGGGATGTTATTGTCCTCAAGGTTAGCATCATCAATATTCATCATCGGTCACTTTTGTGTTTCTAATCATGACTCATGTTCTTCTAAAACATTGATTTCGCGCAGCATAAAAACGGTTAGTTTCTGTGAATCCCACTATCTTAATCTATCTTCTCAGGTACTGTGCTACAAGATGGAAAATGCATAGAGGCATCAGACTGCAAGTGCATGCACGAAGGTAAGTTCATCGAAAACGGAGCCTCGTGGAATGACACAAACAAATGTGAGACCTGCTTGTGCGGGGACGGTGGTATTGTGGACTGTGACCCGGTGGCTTGTACGGCCTGTCCTACTGGCCAGGTGCCAGTCAGTAAGACTGGACAGTGTTGTCCGGTTTGTCTGGCTGATTGGACTGAGGAGAACACAGAGAAGATAGAGTTGAAGGAGAACGGAGGACCTGCCACTATGCAGTGTGTGCTACATGAAAGTGTACTTGTTTCGCCTGATGATGTGAGTGTTACCTTAAATTAAATAGTTTTTAACTATTTAATAATGCAGTAGTTAAAAATCAAAATGGGTTCTTTAGTTTGTTTATTGTTGCGGTTTTTTAAATTAACGTACCCCTTAATTGATATCTGATTATCTCAAAGCATGTTATCGTTCTCCAAAATGTTGGAGATGAGAAGGTGACATACAATAAAATTAATGTGTGTAATGTGCAGTACACAGTTGGTTCACTGTGTAGAGGCACAGTTCCTGATGATGTCCAGGTGTTCTGATCGTATTGTCAACAAGTTTAACAGCTTTATTAATTAGACTGTTCGTAGGATATTATTTTCGATGAGGCGTAAACAAAGAGATCACCGTCGTAGCGAACATTTGACCTCTCAGCCGTGAAATACAAGCCATATTGATCTTATTAAGCTGTAAAAAACAAATAAGCACTCAGCAGACATATCTTTTAGGTTTTTCAGGCGAATGTGAATAGAATTATTATAGAATATTCCAGAATAAATATTTTATTCTTTTTAACTACAGATCACATGGAAGCTGAGTAACGGAGACGTACTGGACCCAGAGGGTCTACCTGACAACTTCAAACTCAGCGAAGATAGACTTACCCTCACCATTAACGTAAGACTAAGTTAAATATTCTCATATTCTATGGACTGGCTTGAAACTATCATATACAAAGCTTAAATGAGGCTTTAATGAATACAAATACCATCCTCAAGGTGAACACGAAATTAATTCACATAATCACACAATACACAGCATAATTACAATAATAGTCTACAACTAAACCCATCAACCCCATAGCCAGTGTACAAACACGACGATAACGACTACAAAACAGAGATAGTGTTTAACGGTGTGGTAGGAGAATGTAAATTCGACATGGCGGTTATTCCAATACCTGCAGCAGACTACATTGATATTGACGGAGAGTCTCCTAGGGTCGTTATAAGGGGAGAATGTCAGACTATGTCGGTGAGTGGAGGAGGATGATTGTGAGGATCCAACAAGGATAATTTATTATTTAAGAGAACATATCTATGATGTAACTGAATGGAGTTGGGTTAGAAACATATAAGTGATACGATAGTTTAACTTGTAGAAGCTTTCAATAAACATGTGTTAATCGTCGTCAGCTGTGATGATGTAACCAGAGAATCAAGTTTAGCAAATAAACTTTCTTCACTTGAAACAAAAAAATGAAGTGATACGATAGTAAGCACTTGATTTGTTTCAGGTTAGAATAGTGAGTGATGATGAGTTTGAAGCTGAAGACTTCAAGTGGTTTATGGGACCTGTTGATAAACCTGTAGACTTCGAGGGTGGAAAGTTTACACTACAAGATGGTGGAAAAACTCTCAAGGTAATGAAAAAATTGACTCGTACAATTTGGTTACTTTTGTTTTAAAACACGACTATTTTTGCTTTTTAATAAGCAGTTAGATGCATAATTACATCTTTACATCCTTTGCTGTCAGGTTTTAAATAAAATATTCCAATCCATTACATATTATTTATCCAGCAAATGATAAAATCCAGATAATCCTGACCGAGTGAAAATAATTACAAAACCACGACAGGTATGTGATGCAGATGATGAGGAAGAGGGAAAATACAAAGCGTGTGTAACTAAAGAGGAGGTTACGGATTGTGTTGATATAGAACTCAAGGTTATCGCTATCTGTCACACTGATGAGGGCGATTATGAGGTTGGTTAAGTAAAAATTAAACAAACAATTAAATACATAATCAGTTATCACAGTATTACAACGTTTACTGATTCCCTCTGGCGCTGCAAAATCAATCAACCAAATTAATTGTGGAATTGCTTTTTGGAAGGACGGATTTGCAAAAGATAGACCTAAATTCAAAACATACATTAACTTTGCAGGAGTTTGAGTCGTGGGATGAAGGAGAGTTTGAATTGTGCACGTGTAACGCGGAAGGACAGATAGAGTGTGAGTGTAAGGAACAAGGAGTCACGTGTGAGGAGGGCGAGGAGATGTACACTGATGAGAACTGTCAGGAACTGTGCGCTAAAGGTGGGCACCTCGCATCATACCGATGACATAAACCTCATTCAAAATTGCAATAGTATTATAATGATGAAGATTGAAGAAACATAATTTCTGTTAATAGTTCCCAATATCCTGACCACGCAACTCCCTGCAGAGTCAGCAACTTGTCTGGTAACGGGAGATCCCCATTACAAGAGTTTTGATGGACACAGACACGACTTCCAGGGAGGAAACTGCAGATTCACTGTCGTAAGTGATATCAAGCAACGAAATTTTTAATTTTTAATTCCTAAGAAAGTGAAATATCTAGGGAAGCACAACTGGCATCAACTCGTCCTAGAATGCTTCTATTTCAGATAAAAACCGAAGACTTTGAGGTCATTGGAACAAATAAACACAGGGGTGACAACAAGAATGTAGCTTGGAATGATGCCGTGGAAATTATCATCAATAGTAAGTTTTGCCTCGAATCATAATTCCAGCTAAATATATAAGGAACTACAACTTTGACGCCACACAACAATACACCTGTGAACCCCTTGCTCAGAATAATGTTTTTAGCGCAATTTCATCTTTCAGAGGTTAAAGTGTATCTCGGACCGGAAGGAGAACTAAAAGTGAACGGCATAAAGAAGACTCCTCCTTATGCTAAAATATGGCCTGGCAGCGATGAGGAAATGACTATCACAAAAGCCGGCGAAAGTGTAAGTTTTTTGTCAAGTACTAAAAGTATAGAAGTACGAATAAATGATGAAATATGATGTTTTGATGGCTGTTCAAATTTTCGCACTATTCACTGGACTACCCCTCCACAAATTATCCTAAAACTTAACTTTTCCAGATTATCCTAAAACTGAAACTCAACGACGGACTAGAAGCTCTAGATCTGATCTGGGACGGTAACAGCACAGTTTCCTCCACCATCCACGGCATGTACTACCAAGGTACTACCGGGCTATGTGGATCCTGGGACGATAACGCTGAGAACGATCAGATTAGCAGTGCGGGAGAGGAAAATGATGTTAACGAGTTCGGCTGGTCTTGGAAGATAGATGGTGATTATTAGACTGCAAACTGCAGCAGATTTAGAGGGACATTACAACTTAGAACAGTGCAGAAATACAAATATCTACTACAAAGTGGCAGTAATTAAAATCGCAGATAGGTCTTGTAAACCTTGTAAATATTGAAAACCTTCGAAAAGCTAAAAAGACACATCCTCTTTAAGGTGACGTTTGTGAGGAGGAACCCCAGCCACCGCACCCCTGTGACGATACCTTCTTCCCTGCTGCCAAGCCTATTGCTGACGAGGCCTGCGATATCCTCATGGGTAAGGAGAGAGAAATACACTATATCAGTTTATAGGAAGTTTCTCCGCAAGAAGGAGTATTTTGTTGATCATTAAATTATCATAATATACCAATTGTAAATAAATGTATTGTCGCATGTAAGTTTCCAGCAAATCAACAACACCCTAAAAACACCATCACAACACCACTTCCCCAACAGCGGCACCATTCTCTGACTGCCACGAAGTAGTAGACGTGGAGACTGCTTTGTACAACTGTAAATATGACACATGCTCTTGTTATGACGCCTCGTGTGCGTGCCACGCGGTTAAGGAGTACGTCAAGGAGTGCCAGGAGAAGGGAGTTGCCACTCTTGGTGCTTGGAGAGACAAGGCTCCATACTGTAGTAAGTATATCAACCATAGCAATGGGGTGAACAATGGCGACTAGGGCATGTGCCTTCGTTCAGCTTATTTGAACTGACAGTGACACCAAATAATAAATCTACTCTATTGAAATATAAAGAGCTTTGGCGCAAATAACTTTCTCAAAAGGCTTCCTGAGTCCTGACTCTTGACCTTCATATTGTAGCGCAGCTCCAACTCATCCTTACTTCCTCAGCTCTAACATGTCCTGAAGGGTTCTCATACGACTCATGTGGTTCTTTCTGTCCCGCAACATGCGGTGACAAAAACCCGGACTGCGGTAAACAAGAGGGACAGTGTAACGAGGGCTGCTTCTGTCCTAAGGGAATGTTCCTGGTTGGAGATGAGTGTGTGGAGGAGAGTGAGTGTCAGTGTGAACATGACGGTGAAGTTAAGGAGGTAAGGAGTGATATTGATTGTTTGTCGTCACTCGTCACCTATTTTATTAAAGTCACTACTTGCTACTGGATAGAAAACTATCCCTTCAGTCAATATCGGTTTATGGACATATTCTCAGATTTCGGTTGAGATTTCTATTGTTAACGCCATTTTCCTCTCCAGTTACTAAGAAATCGTTTTTGTCTTTAAGGTTTAACTTTAACTGTATTTTTAGATTGGCTCAAACTGGGAAGATGAAGACATCTGCAAAGATTGCGTCTGTAGGGATGGTGGAGTTGTTGCTTGCGAGAAAATGAAATGTAAAGCATGTCCCGCTGAGGTAAAAATGAGTGATACTAAGATTCCAAATTTACGTCAATTAAAATCTTTCAATAAAAACCAGTTTTTCGTATGAGTCTAAAAAATACAATCTCACCCAGGAACTGCCAGTATATGAGGATGGTGAATGTTGTCCAAAATGTGTGGAAGACTGGTTGTCAACTGAACAGGAATCTTATGAGGACATCGAGAAACTGTCAAACCTCACTATATCTTGTACTGCTGCAGTACAGAAGGCTAAGGTCCAGTGGTTCTTTAGCAACGATGATGGGGAAAACTGGGAGAAAATCAAGGGAGCCAATGAATTCCAGTACACTATTAATAAAATAACAGAGGGAAATGATGGTAAGAGAAATGGAAAATTGACCGTAATATTATCAAAGTTTGTTTGTCAAATGAATACAGTGCTTGTGCCATATTATCTAAAATCACTAACATTGTGATATAAATCTCCAGGTCAATACAAATGCACAGCTAGAGCCAGCTTCAAATCACGAGAGGAGATCATCAGTGTTAAAACGGTCGAGGCTGGTCCTGAAAAGGTCTCCTTTGGAGAATACGAAGTTACACCCAAAAGGAAAAAGGCGAACCTAGTATGTAAAATAAAGGATCCTGCTTTTGATGCGAATGCTGATGTGAAGTTTTATTGGACAAAGAATGGAAAGCAAGGGGATCTTATCAGCGGTAAGTTAAAAGAAACAAAAACATAGTATTTTCGTTTCGCCACTCAAATATTAGGTTTGCTATCTCATTAAAAATGACAGGACTTACTATCAATTTCATCAATAAGAATAAGATACACTTGGTGAAACGACAATTGGGGTCACAACGTTGTATCACTATCACTGATACAATTACAACATTACAAGACATTGCGTGACGGTGATCGAACATAATTCTGAACGGCGCGGGCATTTAAAAAAACGCTCGAAGGCATTATTAAGACCATTAAAATCCGAAATTTTTGCATATTTTTGGGAGTTTTTTCCAATTTCAGCAGCAGAGAAGCAGTCAAAATGTTGATATAATTATTTAGTCCGATAATATAAATTGAAATTAACCGAAATTAAAAAGTATTCATATCCTGGACAATAATTTCGTAGTGGAATACTTTTAGGGGAAATTTCAAGGGACTTGGACTTTATTTGAACGGCATTTAAAAGAACGCCAGAACCTTCAGCGTCTAATTAATGTCCGTTTCGAATAAAGTCCGGTAAGGTATAATAATTAAATAACATTTATTTTCAGATAAACCTAAGTTTGCCAGCAGCAACGAAGAGGCAACCTATTCTCTAGACAAAGTCAGCACAAAGAGGAAACCAACAGTGATCGCTTGCATTGGAGTGAGCGCTGATGGAAAGAAATTGGCCGAAGGTAAAATATCTCTGGTTAAGAAGAAGAAGAAGGTTAAACCCGCAAAAGTAAAGAAACCAAAAAAGAACAAGGATTAAAGTTTGGAGATAAAAGGACTGAGAGAAAAAAATGTAGACTATAAAGAGAAAACATTTAAAAGTAAACAAACTTATTATAATTATCATCTAAATATAGACTTATTAATATTATAACATATTGTTATTGTTAATGTTAGATGTTGATCACATTTAATTTAATTTCAAAATATTTAGATATTTTTGCATTTTTTAAATACGATGTTTCTCTTTTTATCAACAACATTTAAAAATAAAATAACTATAAACTGTACTATTGGACTCATGATTGAGGAACAATTCTATTCAAAATTATGATGTCACTCAATCACAATGCTCAGCATTAGAAGTCTTTTCAATGATTAATTTCCGCTTATGAAAACGATAAAACCAAATATTTGTTACCTAAATTGTTACCCAAACTGCTCAGTGTGCTAGAGTTTGAATTTGTGAGAATATTAATCCATGACCGCCAAAGGAACCTATCCGTGGGAATATTAAACGGATATAGCTCACTACAAACGTCACGACCAAGTTTTACTTTGAAAGCTTCCCATGCCAAACTTAATTCGGTGATGCCTGGTTAGTGACTTGTGTAAACCTCTATAAGAAGCTTCCTAGCAAAAACCAACAAATCCCAACAAATTGTTGGGCCGAAAACCCAATGTTATGGTTTGTTCCTTGAATAACTGAAAAAATAAGCGTTTTAGGGCAACATTTGATTGATAAGTCGTATATAAACATGGCCATTGTGCCTGTGGATCGTTTGCACTCTTGTAGATTTACAACCTATCAGGACGCGCGCCGAGTTGAACAAATATTTTACGAGTATGGAGTATCACCCGTAAAATATTTGTTCCAGGACCGTCGACGAGTCCAACTCGGCGCGCGTCCTGGTCATGGTATAGGACGTATAATATATGGAACAAATATTTTACGAGTATCACCCGTTAATTGCACTCATGAGAAATTCTCTGGGAGCTTCCTAGCAAAATACCAACAAATACCGATCTTTTAGTTTTAATTGTTCTTTGAAAAACTCTAAAAATAGGTAAAGCGTTTTAGGGCCAAATAAATATGGCCAATTCAAACGGTTGAAGTAATTGATACGCTTACAAATTGATGCATAATGACACATACTATTATTATTACAAGTGCCATTTAGATGCATAACTTTAATATTGACAAACACAATATTATTAAGGACTTTATGTGTACAGTGGGGTGACATATGTTTTCGTCACCTATGGTAATGATAATACAAACAGCGTTAAACTAACAATTTTCATTGAACCATAACTCCGCTTCCGGACCACCGATTTACAAAATTAAAAAATGGGTGTTTAGAGAAAATTCTGAACTTTTCTCGGATAGTAAAAATTAAGTTCATTCGTGCTTCAGAAGAGACTGGCAGGCTCATAAATAAGGGGTTTGATCACGATAATGATACTATTTATATATGAAGGAGCACATGTTTTAATTTTTAGTGGTGTCATACTCATAGTTGTAGGTTTACAATTAACCTTGAACCTACCAGGACGCGCGCCGAGTTGGACTCGTCGACGGTCCAATATATGGAACAGATATTTTACGAGTATCACCCGTTAATGTCATAGATATTACATCGCCACAAAATTTACTACAGATACGCCAAAGGGTCTGGGCCTTGTACTAGACAAATTCTCCAGACTCGTGATTACACTCACTGCTAACAATATCACGTGACGTGCACGCAAACTCGCGCGCTAAAATGCGCGCATTCAGAAGTGACGAAAACATATGTCACCCCACTGTAGAAACAATCAGGACAAATCCCAAAAATATCGGAATAAATACCAATATTACTATTAGGGGTCGTTCACATATTACGTAATCATTTTTCCCCTACTCTTGCCGAAGTCAAAAAGATCGTAGGAAATAAGTAATCGGGTTTGGATATATGAGGTGGCCCAATGGATCTACGTTGTCGACAAAAGTCTGCTCCTTCGCAATATAAACCACTCCCCTATAACTCTATAATTACTGTCATCAAGGTCCAAGATGTAATTACAAATTAGATCGAACGCAGAAATTAGATCGAACCGGTTCGATCTAGGAATTAGATCGAACGCGCGGCGCGGCTTTCAATGTATTTGTATATCATATATGGTATATGTATCTCGCGCCAGCGTTCGATCTAATTCCTAGATCAAACCGGTTAATCGATCTAATTTCTGCGTTCGATCTGATTACATCTTGGTGACAGTTAGTGTATAGGAAGCGTATATTATGCTGCGCGTGACGCTAGCCATGTGTTAATTATTATTAATTACAGTGAAATTCCTCCTTCGCAAAGTTATGTTCCGCAATTTTCTGGATTTATTAAATGTTGATGCGCGGCGAGCGTGCTAAATCACTCTACAGTCGATCTTCGAGATTATTCTAAAAGGGCCCCCGACAGTTGAAACCAGCTTGAATCGATGTAGTTTCGGCCGCTGATTCCGAATCACCCCCCATGACATAGGGTTAAAATGCTCACCTGCCGAGATATTTGCGAAAAACTGTCTTGATCACGTGATATGACCGTATAAGGAAGTTGTTCGAATTTCTCGTTAGGGTTAGGGTTTCAGCATATGCTTTTGTTAGGGATTGGGTTAGGGTTAAGGTTGGCATCAGATTAGAGGGCTATGATTTCGAATAGTCATTCAGGGCAACCAAGAGAACGTGTTTAAAAAGTCACGTGACAGTCGAGTGTAGAGTGATTAATCATCATCCGATGCGCGGCGCTGCATTGGTGAAATAAATCGTCCCATGCACAAATCCTACTCATTTATAAAAACATAAAACATTGCATAGTATGTAAATAAATTTGCCATTTTGAAAGAATGTAACCCCAGGGGATTAAATAGGGAGGAATTTAGGTATATTGAGAAGTATAGAACTAATTGCTTATATATATTGGGTTTAAATAGATGCAAAGTTGAAAGATAAGGTTCTTAGTTTTTATTTCATTTTTGAAGCTTTAATTTTTTTGTGTAGTCCATTTCCAATTACCTTGTGTATTTTATTTAGGTTATTTGATTCTCGATTGTTTGAGGCATTTTAGATCCCCGTGTGTTTAGTACTAATTAAACTAACCAACTTAATTCCTTTGTAGCTAATGATGTAATTTAACGAAGTATACACTAAATTTGCGTGTTTCACTGTCTAGCCCACCAACCATAACCAGTATGTAAATATGTTTCACTTTTTTTCAGTCACACTTTTCACTCAAAAGAATTGATGGTACAAGTACATCGTAGGGAAAATTGATCGTGCGTGGTTTAACCGCGGCGAAATTCTTGTTAGTAGAGTAGAGTGATTAATCATTATCCTAGTGCAGTGCAATACATGATAGTAACGCCGAGATACTGCAACACTTGCTTGTTAGACAGCGACGTATACAAATAAAACAATCTATTATATATTAGATGACAACTTTAGCTAAAAGTAACTATCAAGTATCCGGTTCAGCAAGATGTATAAAATATAAGGGTATTATATCCGAGAAACAGTTCAACGGAATTCAACTGAAATATGCTACGGTGGATTTAAGGTTTGGTAAAGGGTTCCGGTTACGTAGTGCAGAATTTACCGTGAAAGTCAACGGAACTGAGTCGGATTTCTTGGAAAGTCCCAAAATCCGTACTACTGTAGCCCAAAACCTTTAAAATCATACAATTACAATCTTACAAACATAGTTCCAGCTTTATTGAGATTGGGCTCGAAGTCTACGATATGCCGTCACGTCGAACTGACGTCTTCCGACCTGCTCCTTATATCATTGAGTATCCTTCACATTAATATTAATATTATAACACAATTCAAATTCAAACTAAAGAAAAAATCTCAGACTTATACTCTACAAAGTAAATAAATGTAAAAAAAGCATTAGAAAAAAAAGAGAATCAATGCGATAAAAATTCAATAACCAATAAATAGAAGTGCCACATCCTCATTGGTTTACTACACAATTTACAAACAAAGAAGAAAAATTAAAACTGTGATAGGATAACCGACTTCGACATCATTTTTAGAATGAAGAAAATGCAAAACTTCCACGAAAAAATATCGCTTTACGGTTTTTGCTCCCAACCAGTCGCTCGGGGACAGGTAGTTATTGGGAGGGGGGGGGGGGGGGGGGGGGGGGGGGGCAGCAAATTTATTCCAAAGTCCAAGCACATTAAATCGAATTTGAATCTTATTTCATCTCGAAATTTAGTACTGCTATTGTGAATTCCATATCATATGTGATATGTCATAGAGACTTCGTATTGTTCGACTTAGAAAATTCTTCGTATTTCAAGCGTTCTGATTGGTTTCTGCCCAGCGTGTTGGGTCGTCCCTCCTCCCTTCTTCCACCCTCGTAGACATAGGGCACTGTCTCAATCGTGTGCTCCGGCTGTAAATAAGATAGGTCTTACAGAATCCTACATGACTTTAAAAGGACAGATTGAAGTACGGTTATGCGTCATAAAAGATAAATAATCTAAAACTAAATGTGATTAACACAGTAAAATATCTATAACGTGATCTTCGGGTAAAACCAAGTGCACAGGTTTGTATATGCTACTAACTAATTTTAAACGTAGTCAGATGTGCTAGAACCTGAAAGTATGTGGTGATAGCGAGGACTAGATAAGAGATAGCGTAACAAATGCAGTACAATACACCCGCCACCGGACCACGTGACCGCTGCACCGTCAGACGGTCAGTCAGCGAGGAGTCTGAGCTACATTCCTTGTACACCTGCGGGGAGACGTGTGTCAACACAAAACACAACCTTGTGGTTAACAAAACACAACATTGTGGTCAACAAAACACAACATTGTGGTAAAACCACGTACAATACCAGAAATACTACAAATAAATGGAAAATAAACAAGATAACAAAATCAAAACACTGCTTTTATTCCCAAAATTTTGATTTGTGGTAAACTACAGTAAATCCCATTAAAAACTACCATACATCCCCTTAACTGGGTATATTCTCCTGGTTAACGATTAAGTGAAGGTTTAAACAGTACCTGTTCTGTTCTCCGTGTCACGTCAGCCCAACTGTACATGTTCTTAACTTGTCTGTGTAACTCTTGTGGCTGTGGGGCGTCTCCAGCGTCTATCCTAGACGGAGAATAACGCATTGTTATCTCATTAATTACTTAATTCATTGAATAATGTAGATCACGATGATAGAATTAAACTGAAGAGAAGTAAGCGTGTGTATAAACTCAGTTTTAAGGCTCAGTCCCCAGTCTTACTTGCTGATAGTTTGTAAGAGACCCTTAGTGAGAGCCTCCGTGCTTGTATCCTCCGCAAGACACACGAAATCAGCAGGGAACACCTCTACTATACCACCAACCTGCAAAACACTTGTTAAGAACCTTCAAAACACTTGTTAACAACCTGCAAAACACTTGTTAAGAACCTGCAAAACACTTGTTAACAACCTGCAAAACACTTGTTAACAACCTTCAAAACATTGTTAACAATCTGCAAAACACTTGTTAAGAACCTGCAAAACACTTGTTAACAACCTGCAAAACACTTGTTAACAACCTTCAAAACATTGTTAACAATCTGCAAAACACTTGTTAAGAACCTGCAAAACACTTGTTAAGAACCTGCAAAACACTTGTTAAGAACCTGCAAAACACTTGTTAACAACCTGCAAAACACTTGTTAACAACCTGCAAAACACTTTTTAACAACCTGCAAAACACTTGTTAACCTCTACTATATCACCAACCTGCATAACTACCTTACAGCTTTTCATAAACTTTAATTATTTAAGTATTCCGACCCTCACTGTAATCAAGACATTCAGCGATGATACATCCTGAATTCCCCATCCCTCTCCTCCCACAGCAAAACCCCCCCTCCCTCCTCCCTCCTCCCTCCTCCCTCCTCCCTCCTCCCTCCTCCCTCCTCCCTCCTCCCTCCTCCCCCCTCCCTCCTCCCTCCTCCCTCCTCCCTCCTCCCTCCTCCCTCCTCCCTCCTCCCTCCTCCCTCCTCCCTCCTCCCTCCTCCCTCCTCCCTCCTCCCTCCTCCCTCCTCCCTCCTCCCTCCTCCCTCCTCCCTCCTCCCTCCTCCCTCCTCCCTCCTCCCTCCTCCCTCCTCCCTCCTCCCCAAAATACTCACAGCAGTACTGACAACAGGAAGGCCACAAGACACAGCCTCGACAATAGCCATACAGAAGGCCTCTGTCAGGGAGGTGTTAAGGAAGATGTGACCCTGAATCAGAACGTCCCTGACCCTGCTCTGCTCCACGTTACCCAGTAGGATTACTCGTTCGTGTAACCGGTACTGTTCTCGCAGCTCCTCTAACATCAGTCTCTGGGAGGTTGGAGATCAGGTTGTGTTTTAAGTGGATCAAATGGATCAAATGGGCAACTAGGAACCTCTCATTCCGGCCTCCCACAGGTATCACATCACATGGCCCGATCAGTGACGTATCATTTGTGATGTGATGCATATTATAACCATCCTAACAGTCGGACAACCAAGAACCTGGGTAGGGTTCAAATGACAGTTTAGTAAGTAGCTGCTTTCAGCAATACTCATACTCATAAGGTACTAGAAACCCGCTAGTCGAAAGCTTTGTTCGAGGAAATTTTAAAAATCAGTTATGTTTTAATTTCTCTTCATCATACAGCTCTGTTATACAGTAGACATAATGGAATTTATTTAACAATGGCGACAGCGTTGTTAGTATTCGGATTCCCAAAACGATACTTTTTACCGCATCAAAAAATACCAATCACAACCAAAGTTATGAATATAAGTCATAGCGTGAGCGTAAATGTGAGCTAGTTTTGAAGTTATGACGTAGCATACAGCATAACAACGCGCGTAGTTAAGATGTCCTTGCTCGCGCACGTGCATTTTAACGTTGCTACGCAACAGCGCAGTAAACCTTTGCTAAAATAACGACATTATTCTAACGGTTATTTTACCTCACTTCCGACGTTAATTATAAAAAATCTAAAGCCTAAATCAAAATTCTAAGAATGCTATAGCCTATTCCTATCCTTTTTCTACAACCCTGCTAAAAATGGCGAGGTTTCAACTCCATTTGCGAGCTGGGTTTGGCTTCACCAGAGGGTCATTTTGAGGTCGATTTTCGGTGTTTTTTCTTCTATGTCCCCGTTGCCGGGGAAATTTCGTCAAGTTTAAATTATAGTATAGATATTAAGAAGTGTTTGAGCTCTCGGTATGGGTTCACATTACGGACGTGAGCCGGGTCCGAAAGTTCCTAGTTGTCGGAGCTGATTGGATTTCCCAAGCTTGCATGTTAATTAGTTAACTAGGTAAAATTGGAAGGTTCCTAGTTGTCCGTCACCGATCAAATGGTGTACAAAGTTGAACATTTGATCGTTAGTTTTGATAAATCTGAAGTTCAATTCATGATGTCTGTCCATGTTGCATGTGCTTGTTTCGAAAGTGCGTGTCAAAATCTCGTTTTGTAACCGATCCAGGATCCTTAGCCCTTAGAGGCATTCACAGTCGGACAAGATACAGTGAAGTTTTAAATGTAATCAAAAAGACTGAAAAAAACAATCGGTTTTATCACCTTGGGACCGTCTCCCCCGATTAGAAACTTTACTCTTTTATCTGCAGAACACATCTTTGGGATGATTCCTGACAACAGATCAATACCTGAAAAACGAAAGATTTTAAACTTCGGGTGATTACTTATTTATAAGTAATCTTAGTTATAACTAAAAGAGAAATTCTTATGTCCAATGTAAGTTATCTTGAAGGGCTTACTACTAGGGACTGGAGTCCTATATCCATTACCCAATCACCAATGCTTCGAATGTCAGCTGTCAACAAACAATCACCTTTTCTGTAGACGAGTCGCGACATGACAACAATCACAATCTCATCCCGGCTATCCGGGGGGCTATCTGTTGGAACAAACAGTGAGGTATCTATCGCGTTAGGGATCACTCGTACCTGAACAGTACTAAGTTAGCTAGAAGTATGTGTTGCTAACAGTAGAGAGGTGATGCACTTTTCTTAAAATCAACTATTACTTACTTCATGAAATTTCTTATGCCTAATATTTTCTTATTGAATTATAACATTCGATTAGCTCAATATTATGATAAGGCGCCACGATAAGAGGATAAAAATTAAACAAGAATTTTATAAAACTGCAAAATTACCGTTCTCATAAAAAGATCTAACTAGACTGTTAAAGACAGTGTCCGTACCTTACTGGGGCTAATCCGTGCTCTCAGCACAGTATTTTCCTTGCTAGTGTGAGACACACATATAACACCATCAATGTCACCCAGGGTGAACTCTAGCATCTTATTCGTCATTATCGCTCCGAAATCGTTAAAACCGAAGAGAGAGTGGTCGGTGAATACTGTCCGTAAGCCCATCATCTTGGCGCTGAGTAACGCATCCAACGCGAAAGTAGAAAAAGCAGCATGACCATGAACAATCTCAATTTGTTCTCTGACAAATATGTGTCTAAGGACGGGAAGGGATATGAAGAAGTTAGGAACAATAACAAGGCGTATGAGCATATAGAATGGGATGTAGTAGACCTTTATAAAAGGTTTCAGGTACCTGACCCCGACCCTATCATCGTAGCAGTGTGTAACTATGATAACTTTGTGACCTCGTTTGTACAGGTTCTGGGCTAGATTGTAAATGTGGCATTCTACTCCGCCGAAGTTTGGGTAGAAAAAGTCCGAGATGAGACAGATTTTCATCCGGAGATGGTGACAGACTGAGGGCTGGATGTAGTGAGCAGAAGATCCCGGAGATGGTGACGGACTGAAGGCTGATGTAGTGAGGTCGGTTACATAGTAGGAGATTTCATGAAAACACGGTACCTATTAAAGAGTAACGGGGTGAGTGGATATCAGTGGATTATAGTTATAGTTTCTTAACTTGTCGTATAAAGTTTAGTGATAAATCGACAGTAAATTTGGAGTTATTATTAACTCTACAGTCTACCTGCTACACTACCGGAATTATTTTCATCGTCACAGTTACAAAAATAAAATGATGAATAAAAATTGCGAGAACCGCAACGCAACGCATGCGCATGGCAAGTCATCCATAAAAGGATTTATATTTAATATATGAAACAAAACTAGCGATGAAAAATAAGATATAGAATATCCTGAAGAATATCAAATACTCAAGAACGAAAACGAAACATTAAAAAAAACAGCAAGATTCTGAAATGAAAGAGATTCTGCTGACCAATCCAAATGGCTTTGCTAATAGCCAAAAATACAAATTATAGTGCATTTAAACGCATTTATAATACCTAAACGCTACATTAATAAACATTTCCCTACTCCATAATCCATATTACTACTCAGTTTTATCCTTTCCATCTCCAACCCCCTCACTGGTAACCTCCTCACAGGTAACCTCCTCATTGGTAGTAACCTCCTCACCCTCACCCTCATCTCAATCTCCTTAACCTCAGATATGTCAGGAAGATGCAGGGTCCACTGCAGGGCCCATACGGGGAGCAGTAGGTAGCTGTAAGCACTCCACGTCCACACGCCCAGCGTGTACTTGCTCTCGATGACTGAGGTAGCGTGCTCGTGCACAGCTCCTAAAACTGATCCCTGGTGGAAACAGTGTCAGTAAACACGTGGTGTGACGTCATAACACGTGGTGTGACGTCATAACACGTGTTATGACGTCATAACACGTGGTGTGTACTTGCTCTCGATAACTGAGGTAGCGTGCTCGTGCACAACTCCTAAAACTGATCCCTGGTGGAAAGTGTCAGTAAACACGTGGTGTGACGTCATAACACGTGGTGTGACGTCATAACACGTGGTGTGACGTCATAACACGTGGTGTGTACTTGCTCTCGATAACGGAGGTAGCGTGCTCGTGCACAGCTCCTAAAACTGATCCCTGGTGTAAACAGTGTCAGTAAACACGTGGTGTGACGTCATAACACGTGGTGTGACGTCATAACACGTGGTGTGACGTCATAACACGTGGTGTGTACTTGCTCTCGATAACGGAGGTAGCGTGCTCGTGCACAGCTCCTAAAACTGATCCCTGGTGTAAGTCAGTAAATCAACTGGAGTTTTAAGTAAATGTTATAAGAAATTGTTTTATGAATAGTGAGAGTTACCGCGATGGCCGATGAAGAGGTCCAAAACTGTAAGCTTTTATATTTGGCAGGGCGGCTTCGCCACTGTCGCCATTGGTGGTGACAATTGTCAAATTTTGCCGGTGAACTTGCCGCAGAAAAGCACCGGCTCAATAAATAAGAACCCTTTGAATTTGTATTCATCTGAAAACCAGCTCCTGAGTCCTTAATCCTTAGGGAGACTCCTTACTCCTAAGTTCTGTTCGCCCCTTCTTAACTCGGTGTGATTCTTTAGTGAACATTGTTTTCTTATGCTCTTATGGGCCCAGGTGAATAGGAAGAATCCAGAACCAGTAAAATGTGGTAATTTACAAAAGAATCCCACGATAAAATATTTGCTCACGGACACGATGGTGCTAATATGGCTGCATTGTTTGCCGTTATTTATACGGCGGAATTTATCTCATTGTAAACGGTCCTGTTAACTTGTCAATTTGATGTCATAATTCAATTATTGCCGAAAGAAAAAAGTAAATATTTAAAACATTTAGAGAGAGGGTTTATCTGGTCGTTATCTGGTGACATTCATTCATTCATTAGGCATCTTCGGGCAGTGGTTACTTGGTTAGTTCAGGACATTTTTGTCAGAAAATGAAAATATTGTTTCCCGAATGTGCACTCATCAGTCGAACGACTGTTTCAAATTTTATTCAAATCTTTGAATTGGATTGGCTTTAAATCTTCATTTATTTCCACCTTCATATATTTTGTAAATTTTTTCTAACATTATTCATTGCCTAGGAATGAAAAACATTGTGACTGCTGCAGTTTTACTGTTAACGCTGATGGCACCTAGCGAAGCGTGTTCAATAGAAGAGGAGATAGTGCGGATTTCTATCAGAGAAGCAGTCAAGAGTGAGCTGGAAGCAAAAAAAGAGGTGGAAGTATTACGGAACGAAGTGTCTGAGATACAGAAGGAGATGGCGTGGTACAGCCTCCATGTTGCTGCTGCAGCCGCTTGCCGGGGGAGCACTGCTACAGGAGGTTCCGGACCCAGGGGTAATATGGTGCTAGCAAAAGAAAATACCGAGTCGTGTGCGGTTCAATGTGCCAAAACAATATACAGTATCTGTGATGCAGATGTTTCTATCCAGGGGACCGTTGGAAAGGCAACATCTTACACTGATCAAGTAGGCATGTTCTACAACTACGGATGTGCTACAGCGGGTAACACAGACGTTCGTTTTGACGAGGTGAAGGCTGACGACTCGGCCATTCTGGAAGGGCTTGGAATAGGATATTACCGATTCTGCTGCTGTCGATATCCAGGATAGACCTTAACATTTCCTTTCCATGGACTGAGAAGTTCAAATGCAATAATATCTCTTTATTTTACTTTACAAAGCTTCTTTACTCTGATTTGTGGACTCTTGATTTTGGATTAGGTTCTAGCACAACGAATAGAGAGTATTGCTATTTGCACAGTAGATTAAAGATTAAAGAAAGCCAAAATAGTGTCTTCGGCGTCGTGTATTCATGTTGTTGTTTTTCCCCGTAGAAGAGATCAATTTATATCGTGTTTTATCTTTCAAATCAAATGTACCAACTTATTAAAGTCATTTTAATTTGTCTAATAGCATCTACAATCTACAATCTACAATCTACATGTCTAGTAGTCGTAGAAATTGAGACAGTCGTCAAAACAATTTTGAAATAAAAAAATACATAAATCCGAAGAAATAAATGTTATTGATTTTAAAAGCAAGAAAGATTATACATACCTGTAATTGATCAGGGAGGTGCAGGTAGACGTACACGTAACTGTACTCCAACACTAGAACTAGAGGATTAACTGCCAGCAGAAGGGCGCTCTGTACCACTCGCCCTGTCTTCTTCGTGGGAAACTGAGGATATTGTATTGTTATTATTAGGGCGCTCTGTACGACTCGCCCTGTCTTCTTCGTGGGAAACTGAGGATATTGTATTGTTATTATTAGGGCGCTCTGTACCACTCGCCCTGTCTTCTTCGTGGGAAACTGAGGATATTGTATTGTTATTATCAGTGCGCTCTGTACCACTCGCCCTGTCTTCTTCGTGGGAAACTGAGGATATCGTTATTATTGTTATTATTAGTGCGCTCTGTACCACTCGCCCTGTCTTCTTCGTGGGAAACTGAGGATATCGTTATTATTGTTATTATTAGTGCGCTCTGTACCACTCGCCCTGCCTTCTTCGTGGGAAACTGAGGATATTGTATTGTTATTATTAGTGCGCTCTGTACCACCCGCCCTGTCTTCTTCGTGGGAAACTGAGGATATTGTATTGTTATTATTAGTGCGCTCTGTACCACTCGCCCTGTCTTCTTCGTGGGAAACTGAGGATATTGTATTGTTATTATTAGTGCGCTCTGTACCACTCGCCCTGTCTTCTTCGTGGGAAACTGAGGATATTGTATTATTATTATTAGTGCGCTCTGTACCACTCGCCCTGTCTTCTTCGTAGGAAACTGAGGATATTGTATTGTTATTATTAGTGCGCTCTGTACCACTCGCCCTGTCTTCTTCGTGGGAAACTGAGGATATTGTATTATTATTATTAGTGCGCTCTGTACCACTCTCCCTGTCTTCTTCGTAGGAAACTGAGGATATTGTATTGTTATTATTAGTGCGCTCTGTACCACTCGCCCAGTCTTCTTCGTGGGAAACTGAGGATATTGTATTATTATTATTAGTGCGCTCTGTACCACTCGCCCAGTCTTCTTCGTGGGAAACTGAGGATATTGTATTATTATTATTAGTGCGCTCTGTACCACTCGCCCTGTCTTCTTCGTAGGAAACTGAAAATATCCTTATTATTGTTATCAGCTTACAGTTACTGTCGTCAGTCGTGGGTTTTATTGGTCTGTTGATTGATGAACACACCTGCTCTGTTAAGCAGTGTTTTAGTTGCAGTATTTCAGGTAAGAATGTAAAATGTACAATTTACAATGTACAATTTACCTCCTTTTATTGAGGAATACTGCCCAGCTAAATGGGTAAAATGGAAAGACCATTGAGTAAAATACTAAATTGAAATTTATTCCATTTTAGATCATTGCCCCCACACTGTTGAAACCATGAAATCATATTTGTGACTCAAATCAAAACCCCAATTTACCGAATTATTTTCCAGAAGTTGACGGTAAATCAGTGTTTTACCTGTATAATTTAAGTATTTTGAAAATGAACTAAAATTAGAAGTTTCACCTGAAAAAAGATGTTTCGCCCAGTACAATAAGCTATAGAATCTCTAGAACCGTGCTCTACCTCCCTTCTTTAATAATGCTAATTAATTCTGAATATTTCCATGCCTAAGTTGAGCTCCCTACTCCAATCAGAAGCCGAGATATCTTGAAATAAGTGTAGTAACCTTTATAGGTAAGAGCGTAAAAAGGTGTGGCAAAATAGCTCTACAACGACAACGTGACATCTAACAACTAACATCTCCTCTCTTTTCCCCCTCCTTCTCCTCACTTACTCCTCCTTCTCCACACTTACTCCTCCTTCTCCTCACTTACCCCTCCTTCTCCTCACTTACTCCTCCTTCTCCTCACTTACTCCTCCTTCTCCTCACTTACTCCTCCTTCTCCTCACGTACTCCTCCTTCTCCTCACTTACTCCTCCTTCTCCTCACTTACTCCTCCTTCTCCTCACTTACCCCTCCTTCTCCTCACTTACCCCTCCTTCTCCTCACTTACTCCTCCTTCTCCTCACTTACTCCTCCTTCTCCTCACTTACTCCTCCTTCACCTCACTTACTCCTCCTTCTCCTAACTTACTCCTCCTTCTCCTCACTTACTCCTTCTTCACCTCACTTACTCCTCCTTCTCCTCACTTACTCCTCCTTCTCCTCACTTACTCCTCCTTCTCCTCACTTACCCCTCCTTCTCCTCACTCCTTCAGCTCTGAACTGTATGAAGTATACGGAATGTGCCGAGTATTTCCACACCGAATAAGACACAGGAGTAGTTTACACGTGTAGGTGTAAGAAAAACAATGCTCTGTTTTGAACATACAGACAATTACAAGACACATAACTGTCATTCTCTGCTCCTCCTCCTCCTCCTTTCTCTATTACACACTAAATCACTAGTCCCAAGTCTGAGACAGGACGGTGCGATTGACATCTTTCCGTGAGGCTCTCAATCAGACTACGTCTATCTGACTGCTCATCATCCTTTAATACGTTTTCTTACTTCTGTACTTGTTTTATATATGCTGATTTAAAGAAGGAAGGTTGGAATGTTGTTGGGAATATTGTGTTTGGTGGTAACAGCTGTGAATGTGGTTCAGGCGGTTATACCTGGAATAAGTAAGTTTTTGTTGGGATTAAATCAGGTTAGAAACTGGAATTTTGTCTATTATATCAGACTAATGATTAGAGCTGGATCGTGCCGAAAATAAGGGAATGAAATTGATAATAATATTGAGCTAAAAAGAGGGGCAAAAGAAGGGCATTTTAACCATACTTTTCGCTCCACTCAACCAATACTGCCCTTTTTGCCCCGGTGAAGGCTATTTTGTGACGCTGAGCAATTGAATTTTCGTTAAGAAAAAGTTTTCAGAATGGCCCCCTCCTTTTTGAAGGGTGTTTGGTCAGTATAAGTGCGGCCAGCATGAAAACTAACAGCCCCTTTACAGGCGGGGACTCATACTCTTGCTTCACGAACTTCCAGTCTGTCTCGACTGAGGGATGTCTGACTAGGAACGAGGAGGATGATGGGACTATTGTCCAGACTACCCTCCAGGAGGTCGAGAGTATGGATTTCTGTGTCTCTGGGCCTACATATGGCCAGACAAAACAAGGTTAGTTCAGTCGCTTTTTTATGAAAAGGGTTACGATAAAGAGGTGTCAAACATTTTGGAGACGAATAGTTTAGTTATCAAGATATGGACTATAATTTGAATGTGTCCTCTTCAACCAGCAAACTAGTTCAAAAACATTTGTATATTCCCACAGGTAGTTTCGGTAAGGCAAAGAACTATGCAGTATCAGCTGACCTAAAAATGACCGATCTCGGAAAATACTCGACCAGCTATGGTTTCTTGGGTATTGCGTTCAATATGATGGACTCCAAAAACTATGACATCGCTTATGTCAGGTATTTTGAAATAAATTCTGGCCTCAAAAGTTTAACATTTTGTTCGTTTACAATCTTTCATTTGCCTATTTTTTTACCAAAGCAAATCATGTGCGACAAATACGAGAGTTATTAATGCGAGTTATACTAATTGTCACTGCTCAGACCCCATGCAAAGGACCACTGCTGGGAGTTAGGATACGTCGAGAATGGACTCCTGTTTGGAAGAGACTTTGGAACATGTTCCAAGAAAATCCTGTCCGAATTCAACTTGGTCGTGAAAATCGAAAATGGACAAGGTTTGTATTTGTCAAAAAATACTGCCACTCTACAAAATGCACCCCTAAACTTGACATTCGTAACCTTTCTGATTTGAATGAACAAATAATCGCCAAACTACGCTCCATTTAGCTTGGAAATTGTAAACTTTAAACAAATTTCATTACACAAGGTGCGGTATATGTGAATGGAGCAAAAGAGTCAGACTTTACTCCCTTCTTCCCTCCATCAAACAAGGTCGCCACTGCAATGAGGAACAACATGAAGTCTAAGATGCAGACCAGAAATCTGGAAATCTGCCAAGGTTCGTCAATGTTCTGAGATTGTAACAAACATAATATCTTATATATTATATCAGTTTATATATAATATAAGTTTCAAAATGTTGGTGTTATCAATACTTTGATGATATATGGAGCTTGAATAGCTGAAATGATAATTGCAATCAGTGGATAGATAATTCACAAAACCAGTTATCATAACACACCACCCCTACACTTAACAGAAATAAACTGCGTGTCGAGGTCGGAGTCAGGCAAGACTATGATTACCAAGCCTCTTGATGCGTACAGAGACTCAGGAATGAGCGAATGTGAGGCTTGTACCTGTCAGCTCTACGGGATGATACGGTAAGGTGCTCAACAATCACCAAAGTCTTAAAGTTAACCATAATTTAATCACTGAATTCTACAGAACATGGTAATAAAAACTGAATTATTCGATCTTAGACAACACAATCATTTATTTATATACGACTGAAGGAGTAATTTCGCAACCAAGATTACCGATGCAATGCCATCTAACACACATGATATGACACGTGTGAACCATCTAACACACGTGATATAACACGTGTCATCCTAGGTGTGGATGTAGGTCTGCAGAAGAACAAGGTGTTTCTTGTGCGAGTAATATGATCCCAGCTGTCGGACATGACTGTTGTGCCAGATGTGTTCCTCGTGAGTCAAAATAACAGCTTTTACTTCTTCCTCGAAAGTGCTATATTTGTAACTTTATGAGGGTTGTTTGTCACGTGATCAGTACAACTGGAATCCCAACGTTTTAATCCCGGTCTATAATATCTGACCAATTTGCAGCTGATTATAAAGCTAAATCTATCCCTGATCCATATGGCCCTGGTACTAACACTCCCTCTCTCTCTCAGCGTCAGGTACATGCTACGGATCCGGAGATCCTCATTACAGATCATGGGATGGCAAGTATTTTGATTACCAGGGTATATGTACATACACTATGGTGAAGACGCTCGACTTCGAGGTCAGGCAAAAGAATGTTGCATACGGTTCAGTTGCCCTAACCGAGTAAGTTTTTTCCTTTAAATATGCTGCCTGCTTAAGCCCATCATGCAGTGCCGGTCGAAGTATCTTTCGTTATTCATATCTCTGAATCAGTTTCCAAGATGAAGGACAAATATATTTGTTGACTAATTCCACCCGTGGTTCCTTTTAAACAGTAGTACGATGAATAATTGTAATCAGTTTTTAAA